TTCAGGCCTCCTCTACTCTGCCAGACAGTCTGGGCTCCTCCCCAACCCTGTATCCCTGTGTTGGAGCCATGTAACATGCAGCACCCAAAATAAAATTCACAGGATTACAGAGGAAACCCATCATACTAACACACAGTGATGAAAATACATCTTCACATTTTTTTTTTGTCTTTTTTGTGTCCAGCAACGGATCGCAACCCTCAGTGTCGCCCCCGGACCGGACCGGGACCGGCAACGGGATCGCAACCCTCGGCGTTGCTCCCGCGCCTCGCTCAGCCAGTGAGCGGGAACCGGTCTGTATGTGGGATCCGAACCCTCGGGCGGGAGCGCCGCCGCGCTTCCCAAGTGGCGCACTATCCAGTGCGCCACCGGGCCGGCCCTACATCTTCACATTTGTGACATAGAAATCCAAGCGCTTTCTCACTGACTTGTTGAGTGACAAGATGTGGTGTTGGGTTGACCACCGCAGTTCCCAGCACAGTGAATGTGAGGCCTGGTGGCAGCAATGCTCACACGTGTGAGGTGGCTCTGGTTTGTGCTGTAGTTAGTCCCGGGCTCTGCTGACCAGATAGGGTTTGTGGCCTTGTTCACGACAGGAGGAATGATACGTTTCTGCTGGAGGTCAGCTGAGAGGAGACAAGCATTCCCTCCCACCCAGTGTCTTTTCCATCAGAGAGCTGGTCCCTGACCCCCTGGACTCCTGGCTGATACCCTGGCCTACTCTGCCCTCCCACTCATGCGGCCCCTCCACAGTGCCCAGCTGCTTGTCTCTGTCTCAGCCGCATCTCCACAGTCTCTGTTCTGCCATGGCTTCTGTCCCTCCCGCGGCTTGGATAAGGTTGCTCGGGCTGGGATACAAACTCCATCCCAACTCCCAACCCTGGGATACCCTCTGCACCCCTGAAACGGCCACCAAGCCTCCTGAGCCTCTCCCTTCCTCTGGGCACCCACTGTTCCTCATCCACCCCGCTGGCCTGTGGCTGCACCTCTGACCTGTACAGAGATATCACAGAGGACAAAGACCTTAGGCCCCCACCCTCACCAGGAGTGCAAGGGATAGGGTCTTTGTTCTTAACCAGTGCCCTAGGTGATGCTTTGAGAGTCACTGTGCCAGGGTGTCATTGCGGCTGAACACGTTCAAGTGAGCCAAATATTTAGAAGCATCCCTCACTCAAAGTCCCTCCATTGGGTTGGTCTGCCTGGGCAGGTCAGGGGTGGTCCAGGGTGGTGTCTGCATTCCCTCCCAGCATGTGCTTGTCCATCCTGTGGAGAACCCAGACGGGGTCAGGCCTCACTGCTGGCTCCATGATGTCGACGTGCTCTGGGGATGCTGATGCCTCAGCTGGGTCAGATGACTGCACAAATGCCTCTGGCAGACCAGGGATGCTTCCAGGGGGTCTGTCCTGGCCCTGTCTCCTTTCTGACTCTCATCTTAATGACATGAAGCTATTTTGGGGTCACCTGGATACGCACGTGCCTTCTCTGCTTTCCATGCTGACCATCTGGATTTGCACTTGCTGCCCAGGAGGGCCTTTCTTGCTCCAGCCCTGTTGGTGTCTCAGGAAACCCAGTCCTGGTGCTCAGAGGTCTCCCCAGCTCAAGGGTGTGTTCCCTTTAGGTGGTCTCTGAGCATCAACTCACCCCCATCTGTCTGAGAGGCCTGTGCTCCCATGGGCTGGCTGGGCAGCCTCCATGGATGGTGGGGAGCCAGCTTCAAAGCCCATGCAGCCTGGATCTCCAAGGCCATGTGTGCTGGTCTCTGCACAAGGGCAGCCCCAGCACTGGTTCCACAGGACCCCGGCTAGCTCCTTGGTCTGGTCAGTCATCAGCCATCAAGAGTGTGGTTGAAGGGTGTGTGGTTCCAACCTCCCCTGGTGCCCCTGGTGTGGCTGGACCCTCAGCGGCTTTGCACATGTTCAAACCATGGGATTCTGGCCATGAGAACTTGCTTGGTTGGGCTGGGCTGGGCTTAGAGCTATGGCCCCAGCTCACAGTGAGGGGCAGAATCAGAGGTGGCATGGAGACAGGGGTGCTGTGTTCATCCATGACAGCCTCTGTCTTGGAAAAGCTTTGCTCCCTACAAGGAATTTCATTCTTTTTCCTTATGATTAAGTTGAATCTCATATTTGACCACATTTCCCTTTTCAACTTGGCTGCTGGGAAGCTCAACTCAATCATATCTAATTAATGCTACTAAGAGCCCAAGGCATGATCATCCCAGGTCATCTGGACATCCCACCTGCCACCTGGCCTCATGGTTCCTTGGCCTGAACTTCAGTGCCTGTGGTCCCCATGACACTGAAGACAACAGTTCCCTGGCCTGCATCCTCCCTTGGAATCGTGCCTCCTCCAGCAAACCACTCAGCATGTGCATATCTGAGAAGGTGCCCAGCATTGGTGGGGATTCTGGAACTATCAGTCCGTTTCTGTTGCTTATAACAGAATACCTGAAACTGGGCAAGTTATAAATAAATGAAATTTATTTCTTAATGGTTTCGGAGACTGGGAAGTCCAAAGTCCAGGGAATATACCTGGTGAGGGTCTTCTTGGTGGTGACTCTACAGCGACACAGGGTGTCACATGGTGAGAATGGCCCGAGCAAGGGAGATAACCTGCTCACTCGCTGTCGTTATAAAGCCATCAGAACCAGGACATAAGTCATTACTCCGTGAAAGATCAATCCACTGATCCGATCACCTCTCCAAGGCCCCGCCTTTCAAGCACATGATAGGATTTCCCACCTGGGCGCTGTTAGGGTGGGGTCAGGGCTCCAGCAGTCAACTCGAGGGGACACACTGGCCCTGCGGGCGGCGGCGGCGGCGGCGAGAACTGTCGGTGTGCGACGTGAAGCGCCTCAGTCGTACGACGGCAGC